GCTGCCGTGACAAAAACACACTCGGTGCTGTGCGAGGCGGCGAGGCTGCCGTGACAAAAACACACTCGGTGCTGTGCGAGGCGGCGAGGCTGCCGCTGTGCAGCGGCGCTGCGGGAGGCCCGGCCGCGCGGAGCCTGCCCGGGGAGCCGCGGCGGCGCTGCCACCCGCGGGGCCCGGCCGTCCTGCGGTGAGCACGGATGGGAGGACGGAGCGGAGGAGGGCGGGAGCCGGCCGGAGCCGCCGGGAGCGAGGGGAGGAGGGCAGGAGCCGCCGGGAGCGAAGGGAGGAGGGCAGGAGGAGGGCGGGAGCCGGCCGGAGCCGCCGGGAGCCGGCCGGAGCCGGGAGCCGGCCGGAGCCGCCGGGAGCCGGCCGGAGCCGCCGGGAGCGGGCTCTGAGGGCACTGCGGGTAGGCCTCAAAGCCCCGGCCGAGGCTGCCGGGCTGCCCACGCCACGCACTCATTAAACGCTTATCCAGCACCATATAGACACATAGGTATATTATATATGCATGTGTGGGTATGGATATGTGTTAAAAACAGAAAGGTTTTTTTTCCTTTCTTCCCCCCTCCCTCACCCAACACCAAGTGCAGTGAGAGTTAGAGAACAACAGTAAATATTGTAAACAGTAAAGTTTTTGTTTATTTCACCGCGTAACTTACTCGTCTTTTCCCCCGGCTTTATGAGGGTGCAGCACCTGCTGTTTGATTTTACAAACAATGCACAGTGTTTGCTTTAAGCTTTGTAGCAATACAATCCACGGGAGCTGGTTTTCCTGGCGTGATTTGCTGCTGCAGTCTGGTTCCACCGTGTGATTGTACCAGTAAACTGCCTTCGTGCCTTTAACTTCAGAAATGCGAATTTTAGAATTTAGCCTATCTATGACAACCTAATTAGCATTCAGACGATCTCAAAGACCTTTGAGAAGTCCAGAGCTCTGCGGGGGGAGCACGGAGGACACAACAGGTGACAGTCCTGTCAGAGGGGAATTTGAGCTTGTGCCGTTTAAAATAATTTAATGAGACAAACTGGATTTCATAGCGGGGATTATTTCCAAGAGCTTAATTCATAGAGTGTTTCGGTCGCTGCTGCTGCACCTGGAGCAGGTGAAGCTGTCAAACCCCAGCTGCTGCCCTGGCCCAGCAGGTGCCACTGGGGACCTGCCTCAGTCTCAGCAGCCAGGCTCACATCTGTATCCTCCCCGCCACACTGCTGATTTAGTGCAATTACCACTCAAATGGCCGTGTGGATGTCACTCTGCTCACCAAGCACTCTGCATTCTTCTGAACAATAATTAGCAGAAATGAAGAAATTTGCCGTGCAGGGTCACAAAGTATTATGGAGAACTTGGAAAACATAAAAAATGCCATCCAGCCCAGTGATCTGGCACAGGTCTTGCTCTGTGTTCTGGAAATCCTGTCTTATGCCTTGAGTGTTATATATAATTATTTTGCATCTGAGTGTTCTGCAGTAGTACTGCTAGGGGTTTCATTAGCTTGCTGCCTTTTAAAACCAGCTTTATAAGAGAAAATCTTTGTGATTGAAGATATTTTCTTTGCTACTTAAATTTATTTTCCATTTGTGTGCGAGTTCAGTTTCTGAAATTTGCCTTAGGATATGCTAAGTGTGTTTTGCTAGTTGAAAGAAAATTACAGAGGTGTTGATAGACAAAAAATTACTCTAAACGGCTTCTCAACAGGAACTCTTGAAATTTTAGCAAGAGTTTGTTTTGACAGACAAGTTGATGCTTTCACTAAATCAGCAGTTTGTTTGCTTTAAAATAGGCTCCCAGAGCTGCAGTTCTGTGTGAATCCTTTTTTTTTGTAGATCAATATATTGTGCATTGTGGATGACTGACTCGTACATGCAAACAGAAGGAAGACTACTTTTTAGACAATTCTTCCGTAGAAGAAGAAAAAGCTTATTTATTAGTGGGATATGGGCACAAGAAATTGGAAGGGAGTTGAGTGTCGGATGTTGAGTGATCACTAGGGATTGTTGGAGCAGTAATTATAAAGATCATACTGCAGGAAATACAAGATACAGGAGATGACCATATTCTTTTGAGTTGTGGAAATGCTGCAAAACTGTGCAGGGAGTGGTGTTGTGTGAGGCCAGTGAGATCCTACACTACCCAGCAAACACTGGGTACAAGGTGCTGGCCAGTCTGGTCCTTTTTTACTTATTTTTTGTATGGTTCTGGGTTAGTGGGGTATCACTGGTCTTGTCACCAGATGAAACTGCTGCAGAGCTCTGTGTCTAAGCATTGTCAAGTGTTTTATGAGCGACTGGGAGCTGGGGGTGTTTAGCCTGGAGAAAAGGAGACTCAGGGGTGACTTTATCACTCTACAACTCCCCAAAAGGTGGCTGTAGCCAAGTGGGGCTGGTCTCTTTCCCCAGGCAGCACTGACAGAAGCAGAGGACACAGCCTCAAGCTGTGCCAAGGGAAATTTAGGTTGGCGATTAGGGAGAAGTTTCTTACAGAAAGGATGATAAAGTTCTCGAATGGTCTGCCCGGGGAGGTGGTGGAGTCACCATCCCTGGGTGTATTTAACAAAGACTGGATGTGGCACTGGGTGTCAGGGTTTAGTTCAGGTGTTTGGGCTGGGTTGGACTCAATGATCTTTAAGGTCTCTTCCAATCTACTCATTCTGTGAATTCTGTGAATTAATGCCTCTTGTACAAAATGGGATTATTCCATAATTTTCCCTAATAAAAAAATAACATTAAGGATGTTATGCTGTGGTTGTCTTTCCATGTTTGCTGTTTAAGGACAGCAGAAAATCTGAAATGAATTCAGAATATTCAATAAATGCACAAATAGGGATGTTAAAAATATGGGAGTTTACTGTTGATGTGACGGAATAGTGCTTTCTGAATTCCATGTTGCTGGGTTCTTGTATTCTTTGTTGCTGTTCAGGCAATGAGTGGCCTGTAAGGGCGATTGTTTTGCAGGATGATTGAGAATGTTAATAACATATAATATTCTTAAGAATACTAAGAAAAATATTTAGGATATTATTGTGGGAGTATCTCTGTAGATAATTTATTGGTAGAACTCTGGGACCAGACACTCTTGTGTCCCACTGTGGAATCCTAGTTATAAACTTGCAGCAACTCACAGGCTTAAAAAAAATGTGTTCTTGACTTGAATTCGCAGGCACAGTTTTGTGTGTGTTGAGAATACAGTCTTTGTAAGCTTGTGCTAAGCAATAATTCTGCTCAAATTTTTCAGAGTACAAAATTGTTGAAGGCAATGTCATGTTCATTATTAACTGGAGGTTCAATATATGCATGTATTTCAGACTGCATGAGTCCTGTGCTCAATATATTTGTTGTACTTTGTCAGCGTGTACTTTTTGTGGTGAATTTTCTTCTTTAGTCCCTTTCAACTGCCAATTTTCTGTAGCAGTAGACCAGCAAGACTTGGGATTGAAAGCTGAAAACAGAGAAGTAGTTTCATTCAGAAGAAAAACTCATTCCAAGTAAATGGAGCTATAAGTCATGTTTATGTTGATTTTAGAGATGTAACTGATTGAGAGGTTTTGTTGGTTCTCCTGTGAAAGGAATACCGCCTAAAATAAAGGAATGGCAAGAGTGAAGTGTGGAGACATTCCTGCTGAGGCTGCTTTCTCTGGTTGCCACCAGGGCACTTGGAATTTGGGCCACAGGCAGTTTTCTGTGAGGTGACTTGTTCACAGAGAACTTTTTGTTTTGCTGGGAAAATTGCTGCCTGGACAGAGAGGAAGAAGAACTAGTGAGTATCCTCAAAGTGAGCAGGTCTGTCTCAGGCAAAACCCTATGTGCATTGTTAAAGGCAGCATTTGCTGGGTTTTGAGCCATCTTCTGTGTTACACATGAAAAAATCCAGATGATTTTTATAGGCTTGGAGGAGTTGCTGCTCTGGTGAATACTGCAGTGAGGAGGGGAGCAGATCTTGGGATTTCTCTAAAGCTGCAATGGGACTTGTGTTCTCTGACTAAAAGTCTGGTGTGGGGATTGGAAGGAGCAGCTTCCTGGTTCTGATATGGTAAATTTGATAGGAAGTCATTGTATCCTGTCATGGCTTTCAGTGAAAGTCAAATAAATGGGGTCCACTTGAATCACTGGAATTTAATAATAATAATATAACTCACCATGTGGCCCTGAAAAAGCTATTTTGGAGGGTAACAGCATCATATTGGGCTGTGTATAATATATATGTCCTCCTTGTAAAATCTTTTGTGGCTGGAGTGAGTAACTTCTTGAAGAGTAAATAAAATAGTGCCTCAGATTATACATTTTCCATTTTTCCTCACCCAGGTATATATGTTCATTATTAAAGGGAAGATGGGGATATACAGGTAAATAGTTGTCACTGTTGTGGAGGATTAGTTTTGGTGACAGCAAATGCTGGGAACTTACTGTCTGGAGTAACTTCTCTATGGCAGCAGAGAATTACTATTATTGACAGCATGAGAAGCTCTCATATCCAATCATGTTTTTAAGGGATATTTGTGTTCTGTGGCTGGCTGTGATTTGGGTCAGCTACTAAATGTAGTTTTATTTCCTGACTTTCAAACTGTCACACAACTTCAATACTCTTAGTGTCACTTGGTGTAACTCAGCTGGTGCCAGTGCATCTGCATGCATTTATGTGAGGTAATGGTGTGGCCCAGTAAAAGAATGGAATCAGACAGCTTTGAACTTGTTCAAATCTAAATTTCATCTAAATTAATCTAGATTCACCCTTACAGGAGGAGATAATGCTTTAATCCTGTGCTAGGATTTGGTTTCTTTCTGCTTTTTGGAGAAATGTTCCCTCAAGGCTGCGTTACTCATAGCATGCACGTATCAGTGTCTTGTTCTCCAGTTTACTAATTTAACAGCTCATGAATCAGACTGTGCTGCTCAGCACTCCATTCTGCTGCTGATAATTAATCAGATATGGTCCTAACTACTGACTTCCAGCAGAACTTAACTGTGGTAATCTGTAACATCATCTGTTATTGCCATATTGTAGGAATATAAACACCAGAAAAAGAACTTGCAGGAACTATCTAATGGAAATCATGATGCTTTGTCCATCATTAAACCTTTTTTACATAGCTGAAGTGTGGCCTCCCCATCTGAAGGTGGCTGTCCTTTTCTGCCTTGCCACATGATGTCCCTGTTGTTGGAGGCTTCCCAGGCTGTGGACTGGCGTTTCTGCGCTGCTTGCCCAGGGCTGCTGAACACGGGCCCAGAGCAGGGCACACAGACTCATGTTTAAACTTTCCCCAGTGTTTGATTTCTCAAGAGAGCTTAGCTGAAAAATCACTTCACTCTCTTTTTTTCTGTTACTTTGTGTGGTGTTCTACTAATGATTTGAAACCCCTCAGGTAATTAATACCAGCTGAGATAGCAACTGAATGAGAAAGTTTTGTTTCAAATACTAAAAGTTGTTCTAGACCTGTTGAATAGGTGTAGGAGGCACCATATTTGGGTATAGTAAAAATAAAAGCATTGTTTGTTTTTTTGGAATATATATGTATGTATGGGGTGATTGTGAGTTTATAGATGTGTAATACCTTGTGAGATGCTTTTTCATTATGTGTTTATTTACTGTCAGTACAATCTTGGTTTGTTGTGGGGTTTTTTTCTGTTTTCTTTTTTGGTTTTGTTCTGTCTGTTTGTTTGGTGGTGGTTTGATTTTTGAGTTTCCATTGTCAGTACTGTCAAATTACCACTAAAAGTCACAGGTTGAAGTACTTCCCTGGAGTTTCCAGGGTATAAATTTTTTTTCCAGAGTTTATACCCTGGAAATATATATGAGTTTATAAATGAGTTTATAAAACTTTGTTTTAGGTGAGAAATACAATAGTGTGTAGAATCAAAAGCAAAGCAAAGGAAATCATTCAGTTGAGATGGCAAATAAAGAAACAACTATGGGAATATAAACTGCACTTGATCAGAACAGGAGGGAGCACAGGAGAGCCGTGAGCCAGCAGTGAGAGAGCTCCAGATGCTGATGTTTTGTCCAGTTTTGGGGCAGAAACACCTTCCCCCATTCAATGAAGATACATTTACAGAATTGCTGATACTGGTCAAAAAAACAGGTTTTGTTTTTTTCTGAATAAAGAAGCTATACATTTTGCATTTAGTTTTCATGTGTGAGTTTTTGTGTCTGCACAGGGACAGTACACCAGAGGAGAGAGCTGAGTGCAGTGAAAGGAGCTTCCTCCAGCTGCTCCCATCACTGACCATAAAACTATTACTAGTTTTTAGTGGCTCTACAGCAAGCAAGTCTTTTCTCCCCAGTATGTCTCCCCTAGTATGATGAAAGGTATGAGAAATGAGGAAAGTAGAATAAAAACATTTTAAAACAATTGTTTTATTCAGTACTAGATGCTGGAAGTAGATAGCACTTATTGATGCTTCAAAGGATTTTCTCAGTAAAAAGGTTTAATAAGTCACAAATAACAATATTAACACTTGTTGCTTGGTGCACTGAGTGCTGTTCCATGGTACAGTCCCAGTCTTCAGGTTGTAAATCCTCCATAAATAAACTGATCATGTTGGCAGCTATAAAACGTGGACTTGATATGGATTTAACCATTACTATTAGATTTTTCTAAGGGGGGGGGGGGGGGGGGGGGAAGGGACTGGGAACAGTAAGAGGTGGGCTCTGAGCTACAGTGCAGATGGAGAACAAGATTTGGCTAATCAGAAAACACAGTCTTTGCTGGGTTTGATCTGTTATCCCGAGACTGAGTTCTGAAGTTTGAGATGCAGGTGTCTTCTGCAGGAAGCCTGCTCTGTTTGATGGGAGGGCTGGAGGCCTAGGAGGGGAGGAGAGTGGTGTTTTTATGATACACAGGTGTAAGCAATGTAGAGGTTTCAAGTGCTAGGAAAATACTTCAGACTTTCAGACTTGGATGTAGGACACAATTATTTTTATCATTCCAGTTGTATTCTGGATTAGTTTTAAAAAGAGCTAAGCAAGTAAATAGCTCCAAGCACAGTGGATTTAAACTGATTTTTGCTACAGTTTCTACAGTTTAACCAAATTGTATCAGGGTTGTTTGTAAACACCCCTGCAAGCTCCTCACAGCTTTTTTATGCCCTGGAGATTTCCTGACACAGGTGTGCTTCCTCTTCCCTTGATGCACTGGCCATTGCTCTACAGTGCAGTAGAGGAACCACACAGGCCAGTGCTGATAATCTGGCTGGAAATGTTTGCCAACTGGCTCACCCCCAGTGCTGCCTGCTCAGCTCCCAGGAGGTCACACCTTAGGATTGGGTGTTACAGGTGAGGTTTTGTCATGTGTTGCAAAGGTTCATTGAAAGAAGTTACTAAAAAAAAAAAATTTCCTTTTGTAGCAGGCCTGCTGTCAATGGCTACGAAGATGGAACAAAACCTTTCTCTCCAGTAAAAGCAAGTTAAAAATTAAAAAGAAGTAAAAAAAAATTGTTAGGCTTTAGTAATAGGAATGTAAATTTCTAGAAGTATGTTGTTCTAGGAGTATGTTGTCTGTGTGTGGGGAAGCAGAACGTATTGGTGTTCTCCTAATTAATATCCAGGAAGAGCTGTGTTCCTGAGCAGGGCAGGTGCTGAATGCTGGGGCAGGACTGGTCTCTGGACACAGCGCTGGTGCTCCAGGAACACCCAGTTCTGGAAACAGCTCCTTTTAGTTCAGGAACCAAGACCAGACTCCTCTTTCTCAAGTTTGTCTTTTGTTTTAATTTTTTTTTTCTTCAGGGAGGAGCGGTAATGTTTTGCTGTCAGGATGAGGAACAGGATTCCTGTCATCCTCCTGGCCTGTGGCTCCTTTAACCCCACCACCAACATGCACATGCGTTTGTTTGAGCTGGCCAGAGACCACCTGCACCAGACAGGTCAGTGAGGCCTGGGAAAAACAAGAAAGAGTTTTAATACTCACTTAGATCAGCTCTTACATTACAACTGGGTTCATTTTAATATTCTTTACTGATATTAATTTAAAGCTTTCATGGGATATTCAATATAGAAAGTCTGCCATTACCTCAGTGTATAAGCAAGTATAATGAGTGTTCATGCAAAGAGAGTAAAAGTTTTATCAGCAGTTTGAGGATCTTGCTCTTGGCACTGGCTGAATCTTGTGAAATAATATGGTTAATAATTTTGAAACTTAGGAAAATCTTTTATGTTCCAATTCCATGCTTTTCTGATACAATGTGTTTTCATATGAAGAGGAGTTCAGGTAGCAGTTTTGACAGCCAGGGGAAACTGGAGAAGAGATGAAACATTAATTGTCCATTGTCTTCCCTAAGAGGCACTTTATCCTAAAAAAAGATCAGAAAAGTGAGATGCCACAGGCTAGAATGTTTTGGCAACAAAAGAGCAAGGTGGTAACATCAGGAATTTAAGAAAGAATCAGAAATGCTACTGGAAAGCCGTGAACTCTAAGCTTGAGCAGTTCCTTAGTTGCTCGAGGATTTTTTTTTTAATTTGTAGCTAAAATGTAAGTGCAGTTATGTTTCTGGAAGTGTTTGAGAGGGAATCATTATTTGTTGTAATCTGACAGAGAAGATCCCAGGGAGGTGGTTCAGTAGGAACCTAAACAGCAAATAATAGTAAAAGGAATTTGGCTGTCAAATTGAGCAGGGGGAGAGAACCTGGGAACCCACTGTTACTACTGTGCAGTAGAAGCAGCAGCTGCATACTCAGAATATCCTGTGAGGATACTTTGACTGTGATGAGGACGAATTACAGAGCTGGCTCTGAGAGCAGCCTCAAGTCTTGTTTTCCTAGAACTAAAATTATTTTGTTGCTCCTGCAGGACTGGAAATAAGGGATTAAAAAGAGATTCTTAATTTACTTTTTTCACTGTAGTTTTTAACTGATTCTGCTGCCTAGGTATTCAAAGAGTAGAAAGGTAATATGAAACCAACTGGTAATTCTGTTTAAGTCATAAATTGTAGTCCAGTAACATTTCTCTTTGCCTTTAAAGAAAGACCAAACTGGGAAATTAATTATTATTCTGTCTGGATCAGTTTAATGTTTGGTCTGCTCCAGGGTCCGTTTAGAAAGACTCCACCCATTACTCAGGGTAATTTGCTAAAAACTTAGTAATAATCATATTAAAATTAAATTTTGAAAGGTTGAAATGGAAATTGTGCATTATATTACACCTGATGTCAATGCCTAGTTCTGGGTAGGGTGTGATTGCCTTTTGGCTTCTTACTTTAATTTATGAAGCCTTACAAGTACAAGGACTTTCTGCATTGGATAATCCTTTTGGTGTCTGAGTTGCCTAAAGCATTATCTTTGCACTTTCTGAAAGCTTAACCCAGCATGGCAACAAAGTCAGACCCCTCAGTTTGCCTGGAGAAGCTTGGCCCATGGCGAGCAGAGGTGACTGCATCTGCAGGAGCTCCCAGAGCAGATGTGTGTGTTTGTACTAGGTGTATGGGGGTGTGTGTTTGCATGTGTGGGTACTCAAATCCCATCTGTGGCCCCTCCTCAACAGGGAACGCAGTTTCTCAAGCAGAAGGGCTTGGCAGCATGCTATAAAAATAACTGATTCTGGATGCCTCTTTTATAGCAGAACCATTCCTACTCAGGAAATTTATTGGTCATTCTCTCATGGTTTTAGCCCTGTTTCCATTTCTGGGGTTAGCAGGGAAGGAGAGGAGAAATTGGAGCTTATTTGCTGAGAAGAAGCAGCAGCTGCAGCCTGGGAGTTGACAGAGGGGTGGAGAACAGGGGTTGTCCATCTTGAGGCAGCAGTGATTTCTTCCTCAGAGAGAACAGTGCACCTTGAAGTGCACATCCATACTGGATGCTGGAAACAAGTGAGAAATTAATTAATTAGTGTGAGGGACATGTTTCCTAGGCTTGGGAATGGCTTCATCCTCCTGCTGCTGCAGTAGTGCTGTTCCATCACAAATCAGGCTGAAATGATGAGTTGGGCCATAGCTTGGCTGGAGTTCAGTCACCAGCCCCGGAAGTGTTCAAAGGACATGTAGATGTGGCACTTGGGGGCATGTTCTAGTGCTGGGTTACTGGTTGGACTCAGTGATCTTAGAGAGCTTTTCCAGCCTCAGCAGCTCCAGGATTGTGTGACTTGAGAAGCAGGTTTCACTGCCATGAATGACAGGACCATCCCTGATGTGCATTCTGACTGACATCTCCACTAATTCTGTCTGCCAGCTTTTTGTACATCACATCAGTATTTAGTGCTGCCTAATCTTGTTTTTCATACTTCCCTATTTTAAGTAAGACATTTTATTTGGTTTCTGATACTTTAAGTGCAGTTTCATTACCACATGTCAAGTAATTCATCCTTCCTCTGTTAATATCAGCCAATAAATCTTGTCATGCTGCCTTTTAAATACAACACACATAGCTGTATGCACCTGAATGACTCAAATAATTCTCTTTGTCTGGATTTTCTGTCTACTCATTTGAATCTGGCACTTTACACGTCATCAGACACAGCTAAAATTTTCTGATATTCAGTCCCTTGTTTTAAAATTGTTTTTTGAAACTTGCAATGACTGTGGCAGATGCCTTTAGAGTCTATTAATACCTAATGTCAGGCACTTTTACTTCTCTGTGACTGTATTCCTCATTTTACCATAAAGACCAAAGAAACAGTACTAGAATCAATTTATCTGGGATATTTTAATCTTGTTTCCCAAGTGTTGCCAGTGGAGGATACTTATATCCCCAAGTTTCCAGGTAAGACCAAAAGGGATGCAGGTCAAAGTAGGAGGGTGTGAAAGACAAGATACTTTATCTGTGACGACAAATACGAGGGAAAGGTGAAGGATAATGAGTTATTATCTTATGAAAGCTGGGGAAAATGTGACACCATTAGTGGGTTGCTATCGCAGTCTGGCTTGTTGCAACCCTGAGACCACTCCAGCCAGGGGGAGCATGGCAAAAACAGAGGGATGGGAACGATGAACTTGCCCAAAAATAAAGATCTTTAATAGCAAAATAACAAACACAAAAACTGCACAGTCTGAGGGGCAAGATCCAACGACAGGGGGCGTGGGGAACATAACAAAATAGAGGGGTATTCTGAGGATGAGGGTCCAATCACCAACACAAGCTCAGAACATGACCTTGAATGTGACGGGTTCTGAACTAACTGAGAACAAGGACCAGAAGCATGACCTAATGTAGAATAGTCTCATTAACATCCTATTAACATACTGACTCCCATGACCACACTCTTCTCGCCATGACCTGACCAGGTATCTCCCTTTCAGTATCCCACTTGCCATGGTCTCAGGTTGATACCTCCTGTATATGCTACTGAGGCTGAACCACTGCTCATCCCAGCCAGCCTCATTCCCACAGGTTCTGTCAAATGCATTCCTGTTCACTGGGTAGGGTAACAACAGGAAGCTGCAGAGCTTCTCTTGGAGGATTTTCCCTTGACATTGAGAGGAAAATGAGTAGTGAGCAAGAGTTAAGTGTATGGAAATGTTTAATTTATTTGCTTTTCTGTAGTGGTTATTTACTTTTATTATTTATTTCTGGCATAATGTCTCGCAGTGAATTCCAGACTTACCACCAGAAGAAATTAATCTTTAGAAGCTCCACCAAAATACACAATTTTGTATGAAATTGGCATTTGATAAATTTTCTTTAGCATTAATAAGCTAATTAAGGATTATGATTAGTATTAGTGTTTGTGACAATTTACAGTGACACCTTGACAACAGAAAACTAAATACCTATTTTCCTTAATAATCTACTTTAACATGTTTGATGGACAGTTTGTGTTTCATTCCTTTTGTTATATTTAGTTTTCTGAGCACTACCCAATTCTCCTAAACAGTTCTTAGAGAATATAAATTCATAGCAAGAAGAACTTTTTTGCTGCTTTTGGTAGGTGTATTTTAAAAAACAAAGCCACTTGAGGGCCTGGAGAACTGTTACACATATTTAGAACAAGCAATAATAATAAACTACATTATGAAAGGAAAGAGAATTACAGAGAAATAGAATTTGAAGATAATTCTGGACCAAGGAAGGTATGAAACAACTTATAATAATTTATGGGAGAGAGAAGAAAATTGCAGTGGACATTAAGAAAAGCCCAGGGTGACAGAATTTAGTGATTTCCTCTTTGCACACTTGCCAAAACGGAGGGGCATATTTGAACAGGTGAACTTTTAAATTACTGAATGGGAAACAAGTTATTTAGAGCCAGTAATAAATTCTTTCCTATATTTTGACAGCTAAATTTTGTGTTTCTGTATGGAAGGCTCTCATGCATCCTGTTTGCACAGTGCTTGGTTACTCCATTGTGAATCTTCTCAAGCCATTCCTGTGTTTGACTCTCTGAAGTGTTACCAACCTTGATTTTTCTCTTCCAGTCGGTTTCATTTCTACCTGGGAGCAAGCTGATATGGCTCCAGAAGCCCTTATCTCATCCCATTTATGCAGCTCTAGAGCTGATTAGAGACTGAAATCTTTCCTTCTCACAAGGAGGTGGCAGACCCATATGCTTGGTTAGCATGAGCTCACAGAAATATGATTTTTTTTCATTTAATATATTCATTTAAATTATAAGGGAAGAACTTATATCCATAGAAACATAAGAATGTAAAACATGTAAAATGAAACGTAGAAAATAGAATCATCATGTAGGAAAAACCTTTTAATATGGTTAACATAGTAGTGAATTCACACTGCAGTTTCCTTCCCTTTAAATGAGAAATTAATTTAAACTGTAATTTCTTTCCCTTTAAATGACAACTTGTTATATCAGTGTATAATACCAAAGTGCGAGAGAATAATTGTTGTTCATAAATCAAGTGGAATTATTTCCAATTTCAAATCAAGTGATGGACTTAATTATACACACATCTTTGCATGATTCTGGAAAATTTTATCTTGCTCATTTTGCTTGTAGTGAGACTAGTTTAAAACAGGATGGTTTGAACTGACATCTTAAAAGGATGTAAATCTCATTGAATCTTACTGCTGGTTTTTTAAGTCAGATTCAGTGAAGTTCTTTTGAAAATTTTAATACATGAAAATAAATGTGACATTACTAGAGTGACATTTTCATGTTGGAATATTGAATTGTCATATGCCAGTATCAGAAAAGTCAGAGGTGTTCTTTTCCTTACAAAGCAATAAAAGTAGCATTCTGCATTGAAGTTTCTGTGTTAAAATAATTGAATTAGAAAAAAGGAAGAGTTTTTTTTTCCCCCTCTTCAGTATCATATTTATCATAGTTATTTGAAATGCATGTGTTACATTAGAAGTAGTTTTGTTCATTTCTGTTCAGTTGAAACACTCTTCATTTCCTCTCAATTTCTCGAGGCTTGCAGCTTGTGGTAGTGCTTTATTTTTGTTTCCTGGTTTGGGGCCAGAGCTGTAGAATCTAACCAGTCTGTTGTGTTAATGATTATGTTGTGTTACAGGGGTAGGAAACCAGGGGCATATTGTCAAATGCATTTAACATGGTCAGCCAAATAGAAAGGCATTTAGTGGCTGCTGAGCTGATGTGAGGAGCACAGTGCTCGAAGTCTCATTTTAGACTCCATTAGCCCCATCTTGGTGCTTGAATCTTTCGATTTGTCTGAATCACATCTATCACAGCTGCAGTAATATGCTGTAATTCATGCTTTAACACAAAGAAAGTCACAATGATTCTGATAAATAACAATGATCAGATATCTAAGAACAAAGAAGTAGTCAGTTAAGTCATTCTTTGCTCTGGCTATATCAAAGCTGTACTAATTGGACTATGAAACTTAATTCTATCCAACTTTGATAGTCTGCAACATCAATTATGACTATGTCTACATGGTTTAAAATTGTCTGTTTACTCAGCTTTCCTTTTTTGGGTAATTTATTAGGATAAACATGATAATAATTGTAAGCAGTTCACAGAGGAACAAAACATTTGCATTTTAATATTTTAATTTCTGGGAATGGATTAATAACAAAACCCAAATCAAGTTGTTCATAGCATTTTAAAACTTTGATGATAACCATGGAAGTTACCCTTTGAAGAGGTTGGACGAGGTGAGCTCCCAAGGCCCTCTCCACCCTAAATTTTCAAGATTCTGTGAAGAGGACTTAATTTTCATTTTTTCTTTTTTTTTTTTCCCAAAGGAAGATACCAGGTGATTGAAGGCATAATGTCTCCTGTCAGTGATAGCTATGGGAAGAAAGGCTTAGTGTCAGCAAGGCACCGGGTGGCAATGGCCAAACTGGCCCTGGAGACGTCTGACTGGATCCGGGTGGATCCCTGGGAGAGCAAGCAGAACACGTGGACAGAGACAGTAAAAGTATTAAGGTGATTACATTATCTTCTTCCTGTCTTTATGAAATTACTGACTGCCAAAAGTCTGCCCGGCTGCCATGTGAATGCACAGAACTTGCTCCTTTAAAACACCCAGGCAAGTCAGGACTCCCCACCAGGAATCTTTCATTTGCTTTCCCCAGACCTGTGCAATAACCATGGTACTGCCCTCCTGTCCTTCAAGTAGTTGGATGTGTGTGGGAAGCTCCTGCAAAATGATGGCCACTGCTGGGTTCTGCAGGAAAAGTACCTGCCTCTCTTGTTACCTTTCTTGGGTGTAAGTCCCCAAGCAGGTGATAGAAAGCTTGTGATCAGAAAGTAAGAAAGTTCACAAATTATGCTGTTCTTCAGGAGCATCTCTGTTACACGTTAGCCATAGTAGCAGTATTACACCTCCAGGTTTATCTGTTCACACATCCTTGTAAAGTTTTCTTATTAACTCTAATGGTGAATTAAGCCCAAGCCCATAACTGCTGATGTTTTCTTCAAAATCTCGGAGTTCACTTTGGTTTTGTGCTTGGAGGAGAAATTAAACAAGTTGTCCAAAACTTGATGCAAGGACCTTGAAACATGTCCTTTCTGTATGGTAATAAATGCTTGTGGGACAGGGATGGAAAACACAAACTTCTTGTGCTATCTGCTCTTTGGAAAAGGTGCTCCAGAAGGTAATTGATACCATTAAACTGGAAGCCTTCAGGGAAGTCTACAGCAAATGTGATGTAAGAGCTATCACAGATTCTTCATTTTTATCCCCATTTTCTAGGTTACTTTCCAAGTAGAAAGAGGTGTTCAAGGCTGTAAATTGTGCCCTCCAACAGCTGCCCCAAAAGCTCTTGTGGTTCTTTGTGAAAGGAGGTAAAAGCCAGACCTGTTACTTTACAAAAGCATCCATTCACAAGAAACTTATAAGATAAAGTAGAGCCTTTTAGATCTGTTTTTATTTGCTTCCCTGAAGGAACACAGACATCCAGTTGCTCATTTTGCCCCTTCCCTCCAAGCAGCAGAGCAGGATCAGGGTGGGAGGTTCTCTATCTTTGCAGAAAACTATATTCTTTCTCTAATCATAACTGCATGTCCCAGTTTGAGAAGTCACCAAGTGCTGTTCTACAGTATAGTCTGGGTATGGGGCTTTTGTGCTTTTGTTCGAATCTTCAGTTCAGTCAAACCATTTTCCTCCAGAGAAGCAGTCTCAGATCTTACAGATCAGGTGATCCTGCTCTGGTCTTGCACAGCTCCAACTGAAGTGAGTACTGCTTGCAAGACTGGGTTTGTAAATTATAAATCCACTTCATAGTTCTTCAGGATAAGAAATCCAGTAAGTAAAACCTTTTATATATAATTTTCTGCTCAGGCAATGTGGTATGAACAGCCTAACTTCCCATCTGCCTAGAAAGTGAACTTCTAGTTATATTAGGAAATCCACAAAACATTAAAATGGCTGCTTGTAAAGGAGAGAAATTAGCTTAAATCTTGTTCTGTCCACAAATAACAAAGCAAGATGTGTATTAATGAGCTGAACCAGTGCCATAATCCAGTGCTGAACCTTGCCCCTTGAATGGGGAAGCAGCATTCTGATGAAATACAGGTGTTTGTGCTTTATACTGTATTTTAAGTGTCACAGGTGAAAAAAAGATTAAAAAAGAACAGGTCCTTAACAAGTATAAATAGGCAATGGTTTATTGCAGAGTTGTTCTTCCTATGCATTCAGAGTTAATCTCTAGGTTCTGCACTCCTCAAAAATCCAAGGACTAACTGCTGCCTTCACAATAAGCTCCCTCAGGTAGGAAACTTCAGTAGCAATAGAAAGAGATTTTCCTCTTGCAAGGCAGAGGAAATCATTATTGTACCTAAGTGTCTCTTCTTATCAGTAGTTTGAGTTGTACTCTTAACTGCAGTAGAACATTTAGTCCTGAAACACATGAATGGCCTTTTCCTACAGTACTTATTTTAACTGAACATGATAAAAATGTCACATTTCATCAAAACCTGTGGATTTTGCAGAGGGCCCCAAGTAGTTGTGACACAGTTATTAAAGAATTTAATGCAGCAAAGCTCAAATCCCACTTATGGCAGTGCTATTAAATGAGCATGGAAATCTTGGAGACTATCCCAAGGCTTTTCTTAGGAGAAGGAGGGAACATAATAGAGCTGTTTCCACGTAGCCGCTGTTTATGAGTATTCCTAGACAAGGAAACACTATTGTCAGTAGGCAAAGGACTGCATTCATTGCTCCTGTGGATTTGATTGGCATGCATCTATAATACGCAGTAATTAAAAATTGGCAAAGATCTGCATTGCCCAACTTCTGTTGAGTTGTGCTTGTGATTTAGCTCTGTAGTTACTCAAAGCTTCATACACAGCTCAGAAAGTGCTTGAGAAGCTGGCATATGGGTTTGTCCTTTTTGCTGTATCTAAAATAATGCAACCCCACTTGCTCCAGCCCTTGAACTGCTGAGCAGGCCCGGGCAGCTCAGATTTTGTGATGTTTGTAACATTGGTTGTGTAGGGAGCTCTTTGCCAAATGTTCTTGGTTTTGAATCCTGGCCCAAGAATGTCAGAGCACAGCACACAGTTGGTGTGCTTGGCTATACATAGCAGCAGCCTGTTTACAGCAAGGCAGGGTTAAAATTAGGTGTGTGGGAAGACACAGACCAAGCTCCTGGTACGCACTCTCTGCTGCCATATGTGCCTCACCTCTTGGCTGTGCAGTTTCTCTGGCCAGTGGCCAGAGAAATCACTGGAGGCTGCTTTGCAGCCTACCTGGGTGTCAGTTCTTGACACATATGCAGTTTATTCCTGTGACTAAAGTGTTTCCACAGTTAGAAGAGTGTACTTTTAAATCACTAACCTGTAAATTCCTTCTTTACAGCAGACATTCCAAGGGTCAGCTGGGGCTTTGTACATGCACTGGATTCGGACTGTTCCTTGAAACTCAGAACCTTTGTGTTGCTGCAGTTGGATAAGAGTTGATGGTCACTGTGGCTCCATACATGCTGCGCAGAAATTGCATACAGCCTTGATTCTGTGTCTGCTTGTCCTGCCTGACCAGGAGCTTGTATCCTTGAAGCAATGTTGGCTTGTGTGAATATGATCAATGCTTAGGCCTGGCTCAGGATGGTACAAGGCAGGGACTGTTCTAAACAAGCAAGGAAGTGCTAATTTGGAAGGAAAGGCCACTGCCATGAGGTGGCAATACCATTATTGCAGGGGGGCACCAGGGATGAGGAATGATAAAGTAGCAGAAACCTGGAAAAACATGCAAAGGGATGCTTGCCTGCCTTCTGGGATCTCAACTCAGTAAAATTAGAAGCACAGCAGATGTTAAAAATCTTACGAGAGTTTTTAGATTGAGATTCTTCTAATTAAAATAAACAGTAAAACAGCAAGGTAAAAACTCAGGGAACATATTTTTGTGGAGAAGAGGAGGAGAGAGAACAAGAGTGTCTCCTCCTCAAAACAGAGCACACGTTACAAAACCACTATAATGAGGGGTTGTATTTAGTCAAGAAATTACAGCTAGTGATTGAAGTGAGATTTAGTCATGTTTCAGGCAGAAAAACTCCTCTTATGTTTTAAACATAGTAGCTACCAAAATTGCCATAATGGTAGAGTTTTAAAAAGAATTTACAAACCAAGATGCCATCAAGGAGATTGCATGTGAGTTCCACAAAATGTAACTACATTGATACTAATCTCATAGCAGCATAAAATGTGCCAAATTCCTAAAGAATGATATTCCAATCGAAAGGGCATAAAAGTAGACCCTGTACTGGAATGGGAAAGTGTCAGGTAATCACTTTGTTGCATCTCTGAGAATTACCTCACACCAAAGCCTTTATTTTAAATGCAGGCACCATTATAATGAAGCACTTAGAGCATTCCAGTCCCAGAAGGAGTTCACAAGAAACAAACATCCCACAGAAAGCTCTACGGGGGACTCCCTTTCTTGCCAGCAACCAGGTTGGTTCACGACTGCAAACATGATGCTGTGTTTAGCATTAAAAACTTTACAGCTTTACCAGATTAGTAGTGAGAAAATAGAACATAGTAGCTGGTGAGTTTTGATGGTTGGAGCTGCATGGCAAAACGAAGCCATGCCAAATGCCAACGTAACTGCTGGGGCAGTTGTTCTGTAATAGCTCCCACACAGGTAAGAGTCCCTGGAGCTGTATTAATTCTTGATTTTATAAGCAGCTCTTAATCTCTGTCAGAGATGTATGTTGTGGCCCTGCTTGTTTTGCAAAGCACAGAATACATTAATAAAAAATATGAAAAAACATGAAAAATACAGGGATTGCTTAGAATTCTACTTCTAGTGTTAGCCAATGGACAAAGTGTATGGATAGCACAGTAGTGATGCTACCGTGTTGATGTTTTCTGTCCAGAAAAACTCCTGTTGGCAGTAGAGGCATAGCAAGCTCTGGAAACAATGTCAGTTTTCAGTTCCCTATCTAATCATCTTCCCTAGCCCTATGGCTTGCCAGGATGCTGCTGCATTTCTGATACATTGCCTTTTTCCTCTAGTGTTGTAGTATGTTGTGGACATGAATAATACATTTCAGCTGTTCCCGGTTCTTGAGGAGTTGTATCTTTACAGTTGGTGGTGGAAAGAAGTCACATTTTTGACACATCATCACTGGAATGTTTCTTACACTCTGAATCTCTCCTTTAAAGTGTTTGTAGAAGACTTGCAGATGTGCTAACCATCAAATAAGTGTAAAGTGAAGGCAAATCTCCATCTTTCCCCTTCATCTCACATGAATAGAAGGCTGTGAAACTACCTGGTCAATGTTTGCACAACAATCAGGTGGAATAATGATGAACGCTGTGGAAGAACTTTGAGGAAAGAGTTCTGTGCTGGGGCTTAGGCAGGGAACAGCAAAAATACAGACAATAAAGAACAGCAGGGCAGGATGGTGTGGTGTAGCCAGGTTCAACCAAGTCTAATCTTTCTGCTAAAGTATTTCTCTTTATTTGCTTTGTCCCCTTTTTGGATTGCTTGAGTGGCGTAAAAATTCTTCTTTAACTGTGTACAGATAATATTCAATATGCTTTGAATCATGATGAAGTAGGTGATAAAGTAGTTGTGACCAGACACATAAAAACCTAAACTGAATTTTTGTTGCAACCTTCTGAAAAAAAGCCTGGAGTAAAGGTAAATGATTTTAAAAATATTTAAAAAAAAAATCTAAAGTGATGAGTTAAAACTGATTTTAAGTATAAACTTCCTATAAGACTGAGAAAGGATAAGACATCTGTTATTTCCTTTTGTCTTTCCAGTTCTACCAGAATTAAAGCTGCTCTGTGGGGCTGATTTTCTACATACATTTAAGACACCCAATCTCTGGAAGGAAGAAGACATCAAAGAAATAGTGGGAAAGTTTGGTGTGGTCTGCATTAGTCGGGTTGGCTCTGATCCATCTCAGTTCATCCAGGAATCAGACCTTTTATCTAAATTTCAGCACAATATTTTTCTAGTGAGAGAGTGGATCCAGAATGAAGTCAGTGCAACGCAGATCCGCTCTGCCCTGTGCAGAGGGCTGAGTGTGAAATACCTCATCCCAGACTCTGTCATTGCCTACATTGCACAGCACAAGATCTACACAGCGGAGAGCGAGCGCAGGAATGAGGGGCACCTGCTGCCGCCTCTCAGGCTGAAAAACACAACCACAAACCCTCTGAGGGACTGATTTCTGCACTGTGTGCCATGTCAGACCGGCATCTTTGTCATGTAGATTTCTTGAGAAAGTTGTTTCTTATTAATAATGAAGGGAATGTCCAAAATTTCTTGAAATCATGTGGTGTTTTAAGTCCATGAATCTGTGTGTGCTAGTGTTAAAGAAAATTGGGATGCTCAGCTGTGTAGCTTAAAATACACAAAGAACAGCTTCCTTGTGAAAATAAAAGAAAGGAGATCTTCACAATAAATATTGGTATTTCAATAATTTCATTAAGTCAATAAATATGACTTAAGGGTCAAATACATTATTTTCCTAACTTGTAATTCTGCAATCCTTACTGTTCTAAACCAGCAAAATACAATGAACCATAACTTGAGACAGAGAGATATGTTTAAATATATATTACTTGTAAACTTTGACTTTATAAGACCCTGAATAGCTTTTTGATTTTTGGTGATTTGGCCAAGATGTGGAAATCAATCTTTCTTTCATGCAAGCACTTAAAAATGCACGTGCTACTTCTGCCACTTCTGAGGCTCCAGGTGCTCAAATGATAGGCAGTCCTCATCCCCACATTTAAAGTGGTGTCTTGGTTTGAAAAGACAGGTAACTGCTGAGGAAGGCACGAGCCTCCCTTGGAATAGAAAATGTAAATCCCCTACCTCTGAATTATTATAAATGTGAAATTAAGGGGCTTTCATACAAAGATATGAGGTTAGGAATAACAGTTCTTTACTAGTATGCATAAATAATAATTTTTATTTAAAAATTAAAAATGACAACTTAATAGGGAAATGAAAATAAAATGTAGTAGTACGAAAACCCTGCCAGAGTCAGAGCAGGCCCTGGCCCCTGTGTGTCAGGGAGGTGGCTCAGCCCCATCCCAGGGTGGCTCAGCCCTCCTGCAGTGCCAGCTGTGCTTCTGCTGGAGCAGGATCCTGAACAAGGGGGGAGTTTTCCTCTGGAGCTCCAGAGCTGGGGGAGATGGGCCTGGGCTCCTCTGGGAATGCAGGGGGAAGGAAGCTGCTCCTCTGGGAATGCAGTGGGAAGAAAGCTGCTCCTCTGGGAATGCAGGGGGAAGAAAGATGCTCCTCTGGGAATGCAGGGGGAAGAAAGATGCTCCTCTGGGAATGCAGTGGGAAGAAAGCTGCTCCTCTGGGAATGCAGGGGGAAGAAAGATGCTTCTCTGGGAATGCTGTGGGGAAGGAAGCTGCTCCTCTAGGAATGCAGTGGGGCAAAGGCTGCTGTGCTGTTCCAAAAATCAGACTGTATCCAGGTAGGAATGCTTGGATCCTCCCCCTGGATGGAGCATCTCCCAGTGCAATGATGGAACTTTATCAGACCTTTTATCTGAAAGTGACACTACAGTGACAATCAATGGCCCACTAACAGAAGATATTTCCCAGAGGGAGGACTGGTTGTGGAAGAGATAAAAAAAACTGCCCCAGCTGGTTTTAACAAATGGTGATAAAATACACATTTCTGGTTACATCTTACATTGCAACCTAAGACAAGTGGGTTTCTTTTCTTCTCTGATCCAGTCTTCTCAAGAGCAAGCAATTGCCAAAACCCCAGAGGAGATCAAATATCCTGCAGGGGCTTCAGTTGTACCACGTGCAAACATCTGAGAGGCTCAGTACTTGAGCTCTGATGTTAGTGGGGAAAATCCGTGCTCCTCTGTGCTGGTTGCCTGTTAGTGCTGATTGAGTGTCTCTCATTTCTGACAGGAGTCACTTTCAGAGAATATGGAACTCTATAAACTGCTTCCTCTGTGTTTCAGAGCTCCTCGACTGAAAGCATTCATGCAGCAGTGATGTAGCATTTATAACTGCACAGAGTAACCACTGCTTTCTAATCCAAGTTTCCATCTAACTGGTCTTTCTGAGCCCCCAGCTGGCCAAGCAGCTTCCACTGCTGGTGTGGGAGGATGGATTGTAGGAGAAGAGAGACAGTGCTGAAGTCAATCTCGCCCCTGAGGAGTTGCAGCTGGACTAATTACTAAAGAGTAGGAACAGACCTGCCCTTAATACAGCACAGCTGTGTCCAATAAGGATGGTCCAGTAAGGATGGATGTTATAAAAGAGTGGCTTAGGCTGGTCAAGAGAGAGTTGGGAGTCAGCTGCTGTGAGGAGCAAGGGTTAGGCAGGTGTGCTAGGGACAGAAGGGGTCAGGTGTTCATGTTAGGAAGAGTAAGGGTCAGTATGTGCTGCTGGGACAGATGGGGTCAGGCAGTTGTGCTGGGGACAGGAAGTCAGCCAGCTGAGCAGAAGAAAGAGAAAAGGGTGAGGGTTGTGAGAAGCTGCCTGTGAGCACTCACAGAGAGGTGGTCTGAAAGTCTTGCAGTAAGATAACAACCTAACAGTGACAGTTCCCACCCGCCCTCGGCTGGTGCCAAGCGCCAACGCCAACAATTAGTGGCCTGTATAGGGATGAGTTCCGACATGGTGGCTTTTTAGGATTCAGGAGCTTGTGGAGCAAGTTAAAGGAATAGCAGACACAAATGGCTTTGACTGAGAAGGTCTGTATGATTGTTTTCTTGAAATAGAGCATAAAGTAGCTGAAACCTATTCAAGAAAGAAGAATTTCGCTCAAAAACCACACAAGATAAGCTCTTGTATAACTTTGGCTACTACCCTAGACTAAACCTATTTGAAAGGGGTTTTCTTCTGAGTGGTGTGAAGAATGAAGAGTAATATGGTTAAAACAGATTTCCCTTATACAAGTGATATGAAAGGTGAATATTTCATTTGTTTTAAATCAAGTCATCCTGCTGTCATTAGAAATCTCAGAGGTTCAGCCTTGTAGAAGGATTTAAAGGCAGCACTTCAACAATAATCGGATTAGAAGGACTTGCATAGCTCCATGGTCTAAAAACAAGATAAAAGAAACCAGAGTTCAAACTTGCCACAAAGCAAGGCAGTGAGTTGTGTGGTGCAGAATCAACCCACGGTCCTGAGCCAGTGATTTTGGCAACCTGAAGCAGGGATGCCTGCAGATTTCAATGGGTACTGGAAAATGGTCAGCAATGACAATTTTGAGGAGTATCTGAAAGCACTGGGTAAGGTTCCCTTCAAACTTCTTGAATGAATAATCAATGCCACCTGTATCATTCTTTATGTGAATCTATTTTTTCTTGTACAGTCATAAGTCATTTTTGTGAGAAGTATTTTTTTTCAGAAATGCACTTTAAGGATTGCCTTAAGCAAAATTGTTTTGCCTTAAGCAGACTCTACTTCTTACCATCTTGAAGCTTACATTAACAGACATTAAACTACATAACTTGAAGAGGTATGTGGTGGATTCGAAACATTAAAAAAATCTATAATTTGAAAAGCAGTAAAATTTTTATATTTAATAAAGGTTCTATGTAGTATTTAATGCAATTTCATGTGTTTATATTTGATGCTGTGTTAGTATCTCTATAGAAATATTGGAGGCCTTATTAACTGTCAGATACAAATGGTATTTTCTATAGCTTTCACATAACTGGAAAATTGAAACATTAAGTTATTTAAGTTTTAAGAATTAGGTTACATACTTTTTCTGAATCAGAAGGCTGGTTTGAAAGATTTCAATATCTATTTATCTTTGTTCATTTCAGTTCTCCCTAGAAGTGACAACCTTCTTCTTGTGGAAGACTTTCCTGGATAAAAATAACTCTTTTTCTTTTTCAGATGTAAATGTTGCTGTAAGAAAAATAGCAAACTTACTAAAGCCTGACAAGGAAATCCTTCAAAACGGGGATCATATGATCATTAAAACACTAAGCACTTTTAGAAACTACATCATGGAATTTGATGTAGGGAAGGAGTTTGAGGAGGATTTATCTGGGGTGGATGACCGCAAGTGCATGGTAAGAAGTAGAACTTCAACAATGGACAAAATGAATATTGATAACCTGAGACCTTTCACAGAACACATATTTTAACCATCCTGGTGACCATTTTTGAAATTATTTCTGTACTTCTCAGTTTTCCAAGAGATACCTATAGTTTTGAGCATGCCTTTAGATTAGAGGAATGATAATTTTAATCAGGAGCACAAAGCAATTTTATCAATCAGTGAATAATAACCTCAGTGAAGCTCTGCTCATTTATACTGGGATGTTTGCTAGTCAAAATGGCATCTAGGGTCACTTCCAGAACCTCTTTAATGAGTAAGGTTTTACAGTAGAGGAATCCACTGATTGCAAGGTCAGGCATTGCTCCTGTGTGAGAATGGCCAAGTGCTTAAAGATCGCCTGGGTGTTCTTATTAGAGTACACACTTAATTAGCCCACTGGAACAAATCTTACTGAAATGAATAAGCAAACACTGAGGACTTTGTTTTACAATAGCTCTGTTTTATGAGGTCTTTTTTGCTTTTTAATTTAGGAATGACAAATATCAATTTACAGAGGAAAAACTTGAGAATAGCAAGTTCTCACCTATTAGTTTGGCAGCATGACACTGGCGATATTCTATAGTTAGGAAGCTGACAAATAAAATTATCTCAGGAGGGACTCTAGAGGAAAAATCTCATAAAAGAGATTTCATTCTGAGAAAGATAGTGCTATTTAAAACCAATACTTTTCTCTCACACTAAGATTTGCAAATTTGCTTTTGCTCTGATCATAGTAGGAAAGGGAAAAATTAGAAAACCACAAAAAAAGAATGGTTGGCTATTGAGTGCCTCAGCAAATCCCTCTGTAGTCCTTGTTTCAGAGGGTATAAGTTTGATAAGAGTGCAGAATCCAACATTCACAGAAGGGAGGAGCAGGTGCATTTGTGTTTAGGAAAGTGCCCCAATGGCATCTTGTGATTTTGGCTACTGGAATGCTTTTAGTTAGGATACTGAGGTCCAGATTCACTGAACACTTATGATCCTAAGGAAAGATTTAAGACTGAGGTAATTAAATTACCATCCAAGATAGCAATGTTCAAAACATCTGCTCCAAAGGTTTGTGTGTGCATGGAACTGTCCATATGTAAGCATTATCTGTATTTGAATACCATTAATTCCCATCTGAAGGAGAACTAAACCATCCTCTGCATGATGGAAAGAAGTAATATTTTATTATTTTTAACAAAGCAAAATTATCTTATTTTGCTAAATTGAGGGATAAGGGGAGGATTCAAAATGTTAAACCAGAAAGAAACTAGAGAGAGAGAATTTCAGTCACTACAGCAGCTGATTGATTTGGCATAGAAGCTAGTTCAGCCTACTTTCAAAGGTTACTCAAACATTTCTTTGTTTACAGTTTAGTGTGAAATGCTTATTCAGCCTTGGAAGCAGAAGGTATCAGCAGCTTCCTGCCTGTTGCAAACAAACAAACAAAACCCCCAAACAACCAGGGCTAGTCTCTGTCTCTGATTGGGGTTTTTTAAGAAGGACTTAGGGATGTAATTCCACAAAAACTCCCCCAGCGATCTCTGTGTCTCTCTGTGCTCTCCAGCTGTAGCTAGACAGTCCAGGTCACTGACCACTGGTGCTCCATTTGCTTTGTAGCAGCACATCATGCTTTATAGTCCAATTTTCTTATTAAAGATTTCTTTTCTACATGAGACCTGTGTTTTGTCAATGGCAAAACAGTACAAGAAACTGTCTTGCTGAAGGGGCTTCTGTCCAAATCTGATCACCATAATGTCAGGCAAAATTTGCATTTGTTAAGCAGCAAAACGACTCCAACAGTGCAGAAGGAGTCTTGTGAGAGAAGAGTCATTTATAAGAGATACTGGACCACTCCCTGTGTGGTGTTAGAAAGAAAACCACCATAAAAGTCAATGTTAAATATCATTCTTGGTGTTCCATTTGCACACGTGGAGCCTGTGGAACTGCATGCCATAAAAGGCTTAATCATTAATAGTCAGCCTGTATAATGGGAGAGGTTGTGAATCAATTATTGTTATTTATATTGTGGACTGAGCAGACCATTGGGCAAGTTTTATCCAAAGAGCTCAATACATGAGCAGTACAAAGTAACATGGATAAGACAAATTACACATTAAACATTAATTTATACAGCAGAGCAATCATCAGGAGACTAACAAAAATAACCTTAGAATTAATCCTTCCTAGACATATAGATTATTTTTTTCTTTTAATGAAGAATATATCATCTAGTTAGAGTTAACATATCTGTAAAAATAATATCAGCACAGTGGACAGGTTAGATCCGGGGTGTAATTCACTGAAATTGTGTTCACCTTTCAGTTGTAAAACCTATCCTTGTGCCAGTCAGGGTAGAGTGTAACTACAGTAATTCCAAATCAGTTCTGACCATGAGGAGGAAATGCTAAAAAGTTTTGCTGATAGTTATTTTTGCTGTTGGAGTTTTGACATTAGGAACTTGATAGTTTTGTGATAGTACAAGCACTGTCCTCCTTTGCAGTTAGGGTTTTTTAAATTTTCATAGTTGGTCACTCCTGGGAGCCTGTCTGAACTTTCTGGATCAGGGAGTTCATTGAGAAGGGTAAACCTTAACAATTTCAGTTTGTCCTTCTGACCCTCAGCCTGGCTTTCTTGCATGCACATGTTTTTGGGTGACTTTCACTGGCAGGATAGAGGGAACATCAGCTGGTGACATCAGGTCCTTTAGGATGCCGTTTCTGTTGGGAAGTGAAAATTTGCAACTTTGGAAACTCTAAAGCCCTGCAGTTTAGTTAAAGATGGACTCTCTGTGTTCTGCAGAACCAAAGATGGGGATAGTTGAGCACAGGAGAGATCACAAATGGCACTTGATATCAATGCTTCTCAGGCTTTCCACCCAGGATTGGATCTCCTAGATAAAAATTAAATCTATTCCCTTGGAAATTTTGTGAAGGAGATCTTTCTGCAACTTCAGTTCATACTTAACTATGCAGAGTTATTAAAAACTTGGCAGTTTCAAGTACAGACGTAAAATGAAAGTTCAGGGGCATCTTTAATTCCTTGCAAATGTTCCAAGGTGTACGTTAGATGGTGTAGGAGGAAGTTTAGAATATTAATTTGTGTTACATTTTTTTTCTCACGTGAATAGCATGTAGTCAAGTTCCTACTGCTTTGGAGGGTTTGTGCATAATTTTAATTGGCAACATATTAGCAGATGGAGAATGTACCAAGACAGAAATTTAAAGATAAATGGAGAGCTCTTGGTTTGGTATTTCTCACTCTGAGTCTTTGATCCTGCTATCTTCTCAGTGAAGCTGCAGTCTCATCATGAAATCTCAATTTTAAAGGGAATTTCTACAATCTCAAGTTGTGATTAATTTAGCATCTCAGGTGTTGCTCTAAGTATGAAACTTTGTTTCATGTATATAAAAATTACTGTGAAAATCATTTACTCTGCATGCAAGAGGAAGACCCTATTGAAACAATTAATCCAAAACTATCTCTGAAAGTATCTCTCATTTATCAGTAGACAGTTTTGCTTCCCTTTTTCACTGTCAGTGATAACCAGTGAAACACCTACAGTGTGAAATATGTAACAGCACATAGGAACAAGGCACATAAGCCTTCTGTACCTTCACAGTGTAATTTACATAGTGTTTAGTAAAGAAATTATGAAAAAGTTAACTGAAAAACCTTAAAATGCTGAAACAAAGGCTGAAATTTCAAATTGCAAGTCTTTTCATCCAATGAATCAAAGCACTTTGAAAATTGGATAGCTCAGATGCAAAAATTTCTTTCCTAAAATTTTTAGCTTTCTAATGATTCTGCTGCTAAAGTCCGAGAAGACTTTTCCATTATATTATTCTCTGCTGTTCAGGCATTTGAAAGACTGAATGGCTTTATCTTATGCTATGCAGAATTAATCACTTTTGACAGAGGCTAATGGCAAGTGATGTGTTAAAAAAATCAAGAAAGATTTTATATTCTAAATATAGAAGAGCAAAATTTCTTGGATAACTGAGAACAGTTGTGTTATAACTGAGAATTTGTCCAAGCATATGAGAGGTGCTTTGGTAACTCAGAACCTTGTGCTTTCTGATACAGTAAATTTCTTCTTCCATTGAAGCAGGAAATTAAATTACAAAGGCAGGGAACTGGGAAGCAGAGAAAACTGCAAGAATTTTAAACTGAATGTGGGAAATAATACATCTTAATAAGTGGGATATAACCATGAATAAGTTATCAAGTGGGTGTTTAGGTTTCTGTTATTGGAACTATCAGAACTTACAGTCTTAGGTAAGACTTGCTGGGGTGGGGTAGGGTGAAGAGGATTTGGGAGTTGTGGAATTCCCCCTCATCAAATCTAGAATATTCCTTGCCATGTGAAATGTCAGTGTTTGAAACAGCCACACAAGGACTGTTCACAGACACCTGACTGTGCCATGTCGTGCTGAAGGGAGGGAAGTTGTTCAAAACTGATCATGGCTCTGTTTTAATTAACAAACGTGCCTAATGTGACACTGATCCTCTCAGCTTTGTACTCAGTAGAACTGCAGTGGAGGTAGTTGTTCTGGCCATAATTTGATTTATACCACTGCAAGGTCAGAATAAAGCCCTATTACAAAATCACATGGTTCATGAAGCTTATTTAACTATGTAGGCAGGTTCCTCTGTTACACAAATGGAATTCACAGCTGTTAATCTAGTCCTGAGCTGGTCTGGGAATTAAGACTTTGCTGCCAGAAAAACAACAACCAACAAACAACATTCCAGCACCTGGAATTACAGGAGGGATCTCCCACAGTGTGACAAGATTCAAAATAAATTGTGCCTGTCTAGTGAGATGCAAGATCAGCAATATGTCTTTACTCAATCCCTCTGATTTAGCTGTTTTCTTCTTTACCCTTCCAGTGCTGCCCTATTGGGCTTGTAAGTATTTTCTCATATAGTTTGGTGGAACAAGCATTATTCTAGAATCACTGTTGCTGGGGCTGGTCTTCTCCC